TTGGCTCACATTTAACAAAAACCCACCAATTCACTATCTCAACAAATTAGAATATGGTGACATGCCAATCAGTTAATCAACTCAAAACACCTGCAAAGGTTTCTTCAAAATGGAAAATGGTCTCTCAGTTTGGTTCACTAGGCTACACAATCATGGGGAAAACTGCTGATCTGTCCAGAAGACCTTAGGCCCTAAAAAAGACAATTTCCATGTTTTCCCAGCTAAATGATCTTTTATTATCGATGCAAATCGTAGTTTCTTTCTCTCACTCTCTCTCTATGCACGCACACATATAGTACAGACATAGCGCACACCAGGGCTGGATTGGTAATCGGGCATACCGGGCGTTTTCCCGGTGGGCCGACGCACTTAAGGGGCCGACAGAAGTTTTTTTTTTTTTTGTGCCGAGGACCATCACGCAAGGAAAGCGAGCAGCCAGTGGCCCATTGGTTTGTCTCCTGTATTAACAGCGTAAACATCCAATCACAATGCACTATAGACTGAGCAATGAAGTGTTTTGCTCCGCCTATATAAAGCTCGCTTCACCCCAACTTCTTCCTCGTCGGCTTTTCCCACGTTTTTAGGCTACTTCCTTTAAAACAGTGGTTTTCAACTCCGGTCCTGGGGACCCACTGCTCTGCACATTTTGTATGTCTCTCTTATCTGATACTGACACAATTCAGTTCATGGAGCTCCCTCCTAACGAGCTGATGTGCAGAATAGTGGATCCCCAGGACAAGAGTTGAGATAGTCACATTTTCAAAATCCACATACAGTATACAGGATAAATGTGTACATTTAGAAGACTTTAAAACACTGGTTCCAAACAAAGAAGCCGCTTATATTATAACATCTTTATATTTAATTTATACATACTTGTAAGTTTAAAGGAAGGTCATTTGCAAATACATGGAAATCATCTGAAGGTTACTCTATCCATGTTATCTAAATATAGTACTAACCATTCTCTTAGCTTTTCTACCAGTGTATTAGCTATAGTTTGCGCTCGACCTGGTCTAATTTACAATCGCGGTATGACACTCTAAATCGGATTTGAGCTTGCTGAACACTGACATACTGAGAGGTAATATCAAGGTGAGTGCCCTACTCAGGGAACCATGGTTACATAAGTAACCTGAGACGTTCTCCACACCCTTGACTCCTTCCCCTCCCCAACCATCCTCTCCAATCTATAGGCTACACTATTACTCAATCTTATTTTTTAAGCGCTCCCAAACACAGAGAGGGGCTGTTTCACAGCGTGTAGGGGCAAGTGATTGAGAGGACTGGGGACAGAAAGTTGATTTGCATCCATTTGCAAAAAAGGAAGCAGGTGAAGTGAGGTAATTATTCAGACACATGATTTACTGAGCGCGGGGATGTGCGCACTGACAGATTCTATGCGTAATTACTGTGAGACTTTAAGGAGGCGCGCGCTCGTGTTGCTTTTACGTCGATGAGGTGTAAACGTAAAGCTTGTGTGCATGAGTGAGACCTGGCGGCGCAGTCAATATATCTCTCTGAATAAAGATAAACACAAGATTAGGAGGAACTTGCAGAACTTTTTGCCCTACTAAAGTAGGACAATGCCTGTTCGACGGGGACACGTTGCGCCTCAGAACACCTTCCTGGACACCATCATTCGCAAATTCGACGGTCAAAGTAAGTGTATGACTTTTGGTTGTTTGTGTTTTGTTAACTGAACGCTGAATACGTTGTTAATATGTTTATGATGATGGCGATGATGATGATGATGATGATGATGATTAGTATTCACAATTTTAATAATTTTATTATCGTTATCATTCGAATTTTATTATTTATTACAATTATTTAGATATTATTGTTTTGTTTACACTGTCTTTGTCAACGTGCCGAAATAGATTAATTGTTAAAGGTTTAACTCTTCGAAATGTTACGTTTTTTTTTTGTTTTTTTTATTTATGTATTTTTTAATAATTTTATTATCGTTATCATTCGAATTTTATTATTTATTACAATTATTTAGATATTATTGTTTTGTTTACACTGTCTTTGTCAACGTGCCGAAATAGATTAATTGTTAAAGGTTTAACTCTTCGAAATGTTACGTTTTTTTTTTTGTTTTTTTTATTTATGTATTTATTAATTATTATTTGATAACTCGAGAGTCAAATCAAGCCAAGAAACTGGACATTGTAGATGTAACTACAAATCCACAGGATCTTTTTATTTTAATTTATCAATTTATTAAATTTTTATTTAATATAAATAAACAGAATATATAAATGAATGAATGAGCATTCAGGTGTGAAGTATGTGAGTTTTTCTGTGACTTAACAACTGTGACTTTAATAATAACTACTTAATACTTGTAATTATTTAAAGTTATAAGTTGATCTTTCTTTTAACGGAGGTAAAACAGACATGCTTTTTGTTTTGGTTCTACATTAATGTGATTTATGAATGTCTTGCATCTCGTTTCATGCTTTACCTCAACAGATCGCAAATTCATCATCGCCAATGCTCGAGTTGAAAACTGCGCCATCATCTTCTGCAATAATGGATTTTGCGGCATGTGCGGCTACACGCGTGCAGAGGTCATGCAGAAGCCGTGTACCTGCAGCTTTCTGTATGGACCGCATACTGGACGACCTGCCATGGCCCAGATGGCCAAAGCCTTACTGGGCTCTGAAGAAAAAAAAGTGGAGATCTCCCTATACAGGAAAGATGGTAAGGTTCTAGGAGGTGTTTGTTATATTTGTGTATTTATACATTCATTTTGTAGGTGTCATTACAGTGACATAAAAAAAAAACTGGCCTAGCAGGATAACATGACAACAGGAAATAATTAATGGCTTTGATCACAAGTTTATAAAAAAGCAATTTCATGCCTTTACTTTTATTTGTCAATGACTTGCAACCCTGCACTCATCGTATTTCATTGGACCCACTAATACTCATTCCCTGAACATTATGCTATTTCTTTTCTGCTGTATCCATCTATGTGACATTTGATGTGTCCCATGATGATTGATCTTGGAGTTTAGCCCCTCTTGTGGAAGTCTCTCTTACCATATCATCCTTTTATTGTGGATACTCAACTGAAAGATAGATACAAGTGCTATTCTAATTATGTCTATTTCTGTCCTCTCCTATTTAAAGATTGCATTTCTGGATGATGTATTGATTTCCAGGACAGCTGGGAGTTTGAGAATAGAAACAATAGTCATAGAAGACATAATTGCAAAGGACAATTTCTCACTATCCAGATCAATTCCCCTACCCAATTCCCAGTGCTATATGCTAGTAATCCAATTGGTTGCATAAGGGCGCCATTATATTGTGTCCTCTAGTGGTGCTCAGGACAGAGGACGATGCATACAGTGAGGATTTGAGTCTACAATGCTAACAAGTCAGCAACTCAACAACATCCATGATCAACCAGAGATGCTCCTATATGACTATGTTAAAGGCAAGAATATGCTAACATGTTAACAGAGCAGATAAACATACACGTAAACCGTCCTATAGGGTTTAAGCAGCATGTCCCCAGCACAGGGTATTTTTCCACTGATCTGGATGTTAGGAATACATCTCAGTGTGACCCTATGTAACCTAACCACCCTAAATTTCTCAGGTGTGCTCAGACTACATTTAGTCCTTCCGAAATATGAGACCTCTCCGTTTTCGGACTTCCTTACACTGTCGTCTAAATTTCAGTACCGTATGTCACTGGCAGTGTTGGGGGTAATATATTACAAGTAAAGCAAGTTACGTAATCAGATTACTTTTTTCAAGTAACTAGTAAAGTAACGCATTACTTTTTAATTTACAAGAGAATATCTGAGTTACTTTTT